GGAATCTCCCACCCCAGGCCACATCACCAGAGGGGGGGACACGCATCACACACACACTACCCCCACCTCCCCTACAGATAAGCGCCCCTCCTGCCCCTCCCCCAGCATAAAGCAGGCCTGCAGAGAAGGTTCCAGCAGGTTCTGTCAGCGTCCTTTTGAACGGTATGATGGGCCCCCCCTTTTGTCACATGTCACAAAGGCCACAATGGACGACCCCGTGGCCACAGGAACGGCGCCCCCCGGTGCAGCCAGGCCCTCGGCGCGATCTCACAGTGCAGCTAAGGAACCTTTCCCACGGTCATTAAGGTTGTGGGAGCTTCCGGGAGACTCGCGCCAAACTCGGAGCGAGACGGAATAAGGACCCTTTCATCGTCCACGTGAAATTGACATCATGACGCCTACGTGATTGCACAAGAAGTGGCTCATTCCTCATGGAGAATGACATGGGAATCCCCCCACGCCGGCTTCACCACCACAACCCAATGACATCATCAATCATCACTGCCCCTGCATAGGGGACGGGTGCTGCTAGGGAGCGCAGAGCACGTCCAGGAGGGTATGGGGTCACAACCCCCTCCGCAAGTATCTGGTCACAGTCAACCGTGGCGCACGGCCAGCCTGCCGGCAGCCCAAAAATCTGTCAGCAGCCGCAGGCCCTGCGCCAGGACGCACTCGTTAACCAGAGGTTACGCACCACCACAGAGCCGAGCTGAGGTCAGAAACACTGAGCTTTCATACGCGAGCTTCTACTGAAAGCTGTCAATGTGACAGAGGTCCCTCCCGGCCAGTCAGTAGCTTTCTCAGAGTTAACAATAATCATCCACTAGATGTTGCGTGAAGGTGGCAATCGGGACGTGACGGCAGACCCCTCTAGCCCTTGGCCTCGCTACCACCCCCTGGTGGCCCTGGTGCTTACAGGGAGGGACAGGGTCATTTCTGTCAGGTTTAGACACGTTTACGGTGCCGTCACCTCAGACACAAACTTTAAAATGGACAAAACAAGGCTGGTAGCAAGGAATGAAATGTGAAACAGGAATATATTAAAACTTAAAATGTGCTTTTTGTTATTGCAGCTAACCCTAATTTTGTAGCCTGTTAAGCTTCTCCAGTGTGATGTCCTATGGAAAAAATAAAAATAAAAATAAAAATGTTCAACGGCATCAGTGATCATCAGCAGCATGACGGATCACACGCGCAACCCATACTGGTGCTGAATTCTAATGCGGACAGGCGTGACATTTTCCACAAGACTTTAGGCCACCACCAAGGTGTCCCGGAGCCAGCAGGTGAAGCAGAGATTCCTCCAGTTAATAGAGGCATAGCGCCCCATCAGCCTAGAGTGACAAAGGCGGAGGACGGCACATGCTGAACGAAACTGCCACAAGAGAACAGCTATGGGAAGGAGGAGAGCGTCGGGTAAGCTTCATTAGCATATTAATGAGCTGGGTTTCATTAACATATTAATGAGGTACACTTTATTTGCATATTAATGAGGGCCAAAAAGCCCACAGGCCCAGAACCCACTCCTGGGTTAGTTCCAGGCTTATTAGATGACGGCATGGAGAACGCCTTGTTAATTATGCTCGTTAAGTAATTAGAAAGGGGGAAAAACATGTCTGAACTCACCATCTTGATTCCTGGATTAGGGAGATGATTTCACTTTGATTCAAACACTCAGAATGGATCTGCAGGAAACTCTTACCATCTTACCACAGGGAGAACATGGGGGGATTCCACAGAAACATTGCCAGAGACTGCCTGACTCGCACCGGAACAGTGACAGAGCCGTGACAGAACAGGGGCAGAAGGCAGGGTGTCGTGGGACACGGACCAGCGGAACCACAGCTAACACACGCAGCAAGCAAAGCGGTTAAACTGTAGGCAAACGGTAACCACACGGATATTATTAAGGGTCCAGATAGGAGCACAGAACACAGTAAAACCTGGAAACATTTAGGTTTTTATGTTCATAATGCTTCAGGCTGGCTTTGTGAACATACTGAAGGCTCACACATATGCACACTCATGCTCTGACACACACACTCACACACGCACACCCTTACAGACCGTCACACACATAATATCTCTCTTGCACGCGCACGCACGCACATATGTAAATGCTGACAGGCACGGATGCACGCACACACACACATTCTCTCTCTCACACACACAAACGCACTCTCACACATGTTCATGCTGACAAGCACACATGCACACGCACACACACACAAGCTGCT